CCGGCAAACGTAAAATTTCGTTTTAAACAGCAGCTCCGTCACGCGTGTGCTCATCACGGGAATTCCCCCACCCCACCCCCGGAGAAAGAGTTTTAAGTATTTGATTTCAAATCTCTTCCGTTTCTCCTACTTTCTGATTTTTAAGCTCGTTTTCCCGAGGTCGCGTTTACAAACGTTAGGTAGCACCTAAAGAAACGGCTCAGCATCACTTTGGCTGTTTTGACGTGACTTGTACAGCTTCACCACCGAAATAAAGTGTAGGAACTTAACTGCCCGGGCTCCCAATCAGACGTTTCTCTCTCTCCCTAATCCCACTGTTCCCTTCCTCCTCTTAAGTTAACAGTTAATCGTTCACATTTGCTTTGGGGATTTATTTACTCCTTGTCCGCATAGAATATTGCCATTTTAACCTTAAAAAATCCAGACTCTGTTGGAAATAGCGTATTTCAGTTCTTCAGGGAGGAAAAAGTTGTATTTCATCTTGTGGTTGATTCCAGTCAGTCCAAGCCCGGCTCTTGCCAGCGCGACTCAGCCTCGGGCTGGAGCCTGTCGGGTGCAGTGATTACAGGACTTCAGATGCCAACATTTCTACTTTAAGCTTTCACAGGAAGAAACGTAAATTTAAAGCAACAGGTATGAATGCCAATGGATCTACTTTTGTGCACGTATAGATGAAATAGTACTTGGATGTTGGCAGGCGCTTTGCCTGCTCCTTGCCAGAGCTAATGGAGGGACTCCCAGCTGGAACGCTTGTCCTATTTTTTCCCCTCAGCTATACGTCATCTGGTCTTACCAGATACATTTTCCTTCTGCAAACCTCTCTTCTCTTGTACATAAGTTAGAGAAGAGAGTTTATCCAGTACAAAGAAGTCCAAAGACCAGTTTGTCTATTTTTGAAGCTGTTAAAAAAGATACGGGATAATGGTCTCCTGTTGCTAGATAAATCCAAAACTAGAAGTTAAGTATTCATGGAAAAACTAGCACAGCGGGGTAGTTCTGAGCAGTGCGCTAGGAAGGGAAGACATTTACTGAAACTATCTGTTCCGAGGAACTTGTTCTGCTTTTTTTCAGTGCCTGATAATGTATCAGGTAAAATAGTGGGTATAGGTTCAAAGCACATGAAATGAAGAGCTACAGATAGACTGGATTTATTTTTTTTTTTGTTTTAAGAAATCAGATGATCTAATGCAACCTGCAGGTCCAAGTAAGTGGAATTTCCTCTTTAAAGAAATTCATTTAAATTTGTAGGGAGTAAGAAAAACCTGTCCTATTTTAAAGTGACTTCTTCTCTACACTAGATACAACTTCTTACAATCTTCTACTGTTTGGTATTATTTAACCAATACATTTTGAAGTGCAACCGTTTTTTCTACTGTAATATTGCCATTATGTCAAGAAGCCATAGACACTGCAGTGAGGCTCTTAAATGTTACCAGCCAACATGCTGTTAAACAGAAGTGTCACATTTATATATTATATTGAGATTTTTGTTCAATAATAAAATGTAATTCTTCCAGATAGACAAGACTGTGAGCTGCACCGACAAAATTTCCATTCCCAAGAATGGTTCATATCTGACAGGAGAGGACCCTAACAAAAGGAAAGGGTAGGCAGTGATGACGCTGTCATCCACAGACATGGTAAGTTCTTCACGAGGGAGGTGAGCATGACTGAGCTCTCTGCTCTCTCTAAGCTTGCTCTTCACAGCACCTAATTGTGCAGATAAGGACAATTTGTGATAAAACCAGCTGTAAAAATTGCATGGGTCTTTCTTCATGAAGAGAAGCCAGGGAGTTACTTATCTGTGTTTCTAGTGGATGCCTAGTCTATCTAATTCAGGATCCTGTCTCCATGGCCGGCCAGAAACCACTGCCACCTAAGAAGACTCTGCAAGCCCCATGGGGGGAAAGTGAGCACTACTGAGCTCCTGTGAAAGCATCTTTCCAACATTTCATTGTCATTTCTTCTGAAGAAAATGATACAAGCTAAGCCAGAGTTAACAACATCGTGCCGCTGTAAAAGCAATCTGTATATTAACAGGAGTGTGGTGTTTAAGGCCCAAGAGGTAATCCTTACAACTCTCCTTGTTGCTGGTAAGATCTAGATCTCCTAGTGTACTCTGTTTGGGGCAGCATGCCATACCTCAAAAAGTCTTGGGCAAGGCGGAGAAAGTCCAGAAAAATACCAGTAAGAGTTATCAGAGATCCCATAACAGGATTTAGCAGAACAGACTCGAAGACTGGGGAAACAGAAGGAGAGACCATGGAGAAATGTGATAACAAAAATATAAATACTTGCCATGAAGCTGTAAGAACCTACACTCTGGTACTATATGCTTAAAAGGCAACAAAGGAGATGCCACACATTAGAAAGAGCTTTCTACAATGGAGGTTAATGACATCTAAGAATAGGCTGTGTTGCAGTTATGCCGTAGCTTTCACTGGAGGGTTTTATGGCATGGTAGTCTAACGTCTGTCAGGAATGACACGTAGAGTTGATATGCTCTCAGGAGGAACACAATCAACTAAATATGCTCTCTTCGTATCTTTCACCTCCAGTTTCTGTGATTCTGTAATTATAACAGCTAGAGACTGGCTTAAACTCTGAAATGTTAACACCTTGCCTAGAATCCAAACTTTTGTTAGCATTTGCTTTTGCAAAACTTACATCCCAAATTGGTCTAATCCTTTGCTTAATTCTGCTTCCATAGCCTCCAAAAGGCCATATTCAAATTTAGAATAAGCTCACATCAAGCATATCCACACCATTAGTATTTTACCTATCCATTTTGTACTTCGGTTTGAATTTGGCCCAAAAATGAAAGCCTCTTTTTTTTAAAAAAATGCAGTACTTTCCTGAGAACCAGAACACCGATACAGAGCCCAACACTAAAGCTTTTCCTTTTTAATGGGCATTAAATCTGGATTTAGGCTGCTTCGGTGACTACTTTTGCGAAAGTGGAACTGCTGTTGAACTAATTACTGAGAAACCTATGAATCAGTCTGGAAGCAAATTTTCTTCCAAGATGCTTTAGAAAAGCTTTCGGACTGATGTATGGAAGACATTTTAAGCAGAAGATTGGCATTGCATTGTTTTAATCACACTGAAACATTCCTACTGAGCTTTTTTGCTCAGTAGGTTTTGCAGCAGTTTCCCTGTATATATTCAAAATCCAGTGTGGAATAATCTTTTAAAGCAAACTGGGCCACGCTGTCCTGCACTGAGGTTTGCTTGGCAAGGCAGATGGGGCAGACCACGAGGAAGCCGGCTATGGCTCTGTCATCTTCTGTTTAGTGTTACCGCAGCTCAGCCTCTGAGCAGGTTCATGGGGGCTCCAGCCACTATCTTCTGCTACCTGGCAACACGCTCCCACCCTCTGACAACTGGCAAAACTCAGCCGTGCTCCAGCCAGACCCGGTTCTGTCCCAGGCTGCATCTCCAGTAATTCCCTTCCAAGGGGAATCCCTCAGGAGAAACTCGCAGCTCACCAAATACAGTCAGGGACAGACTCGGAGTGTGACCAGGCTAGCACAAAGGGGATGAACTACGGAGGAAAATCTCACTCTGAAAATATTTCACAACTGGCACCTATTTCCACTTCAGCTTTATGCATTCAGCAGATAAGAGTTGAATGAACTCCTTGTCTGGAAAACAACCTCAGAACAGAAAACTAACCTTGCTAAGCAATAGCACAGTTGTAAAACTTTGATTTGATTGCTTGCACAAGCGCTATCTACATGTCATCATATGCTATACATCATCAGAGCATGTCAGCAAAAATATGGTGAGAAAATATATCCTAAGTCCTCAAGTTAATCCCATGCTTGTTCTCTGCAGGATACAAGAAGGGTGGAAGATCTCATGTCATCATTTCATTCTTTGTCTTGACAGTATTGAGGCCTGATTAAGCCACAGTGTATTTTTCTCAGTCCCCTCGAGGACCGTTCAGTTGTCCCCGCGTTGTTTGTTAGATACTACAGCCAGACATCCCTGCTGTTCCCAGTACTGCCTTCTGTGTGAGAGGACCAGCCACAATTGCTGCTCAGCTGGCTGTTTAATTGTTTGACTTGTGACAAAAGGAACTTCTGCAAAGGCAGCAATTTAGCCTGTACCTTCAGCTATATCGGGGACCAAAAAAAGCTCTCCTCTCCTTTCAGTGCTGGTAAATAGTACATGAAGGCAAAGGCTATCAAGACATAATATTTGCTAAGCTACTTACAGCAGAGTTTCTAGGAACCAATAGTCATACAAGACTATCAATTAAAAAGATAGGTTTCTAAATTTATGCATAAAATTTACCTAAGTATACTCTGAAAGAGACAGCAAATAAAATACACCAGAACTATTTCTGAAGTTAGAGTCTAAGCCAGTGTCATAGCTTTCTGAGTCTGCCTGACAAACATAAAATATTTAGGCACAGTAGTACTGTGATTAAGGAAAAGGGTTTTTTTTCAGCAACCGATCACCAAATTCACAAGGAAAAACATTAGATGTGGTTTTCTGTTTTAGCAAATCTATAAAGCGCCAACATCATTATAGGCTTAGCTAGGGAGGTAACTGTTACATAGAAATGGATCATTCACTATAGTGGTATAGGTGTGTAGAGAGCTATGTGAGTGCAATACGTAGCATCTGCACGTGACTCTAAACTTGTCAGTGGGCTTATAAAATTAATTTCTTCACTGAGAAGCAGGCCTATTTTACATACATCTATATAGATATCTTTCTTTCCCCGTCCTCAAAGAAAAGGAGCAAAATCTTTCCATTTCTGACTATTGAAGAAGTTGTTTTCCTGTATGACATTTTACAAATAATGGCATGACTTCTCTGGACAAGAGACATTATTATAGGAATGGAAAGCACTTTAGCCTGATAAAGCTTTACCTTGTTTTCTAGAAGTGCAGCAACAATGTCCACACTAAAGAGTAAGAAAGCTGAAGCCCGTTTCAAACTGCAGCTGAATAGAAGTCTGTGTGATATTTAATGGAACTTGGAAACTACTTAATTTTTCTCCCTAGAGTGCAATAGACTTATCATCAGGATCTTAATATTGCTACTAAAAGAACAGCCACATCTGTCAGTATATTTCTTCAAAAGTCAAAGCTATGTATATGTATGTGTCATCACTCCCCGTCAAAGAACTGCTCTCTGCTTTTCTTGAGAAGACAGGAACACCATCATTTCCTGTTACTCGATTGTCTCCAACTTCTCCTGACAGAATTTACAATGCAAAGTAATTGTAAATCTTGATGACTAGAATGTTTTAGAATTTAATAAAGATACATGCTTTAATGGGTTTCTTTACTCAGCCATCATTTTTTATAATTGAAATCAAAAAAACCTTTACTCATCCTATGAGTTTGCTCATTTGATCGTCCGTGATTAAGATGAGTAAAACCTTCCCAAAGAAGCAATTCAGCACAAGCTGCCCCCACACTTCTGAAGGAATGAAAGACAAAAAAAAAAGCATCAGTCAGAAACTGGCAAGGAATCCTGCCCTTGGATAGCCACTGGAGCCTTGCATCCCTAAACCTCCATTCTTAAGTGATTTCATCTATCCACAAGGGTTTATTTATCACTTACTTTTGACAACTTTCAGTCATATTTATCCATGCTGGTCCTTTTTGCCTCCATTTAATCATGCATTCTTTACAGGTTCTCAGATCTTTAATCTTGGCTGATTCACCACTTTTTGCATTTGGCTTGACCAAAATGGATTTCACTGTTCTGCAATCACACTCTTCGGTTTCTCTTCCTCTGTCACAGTGGATAACACCACCGTCTCTTCTCCATCGCCAAGGCTCAAACACTGCGGTAAGGTTAGTTTTGACTGTTCTCTCACCTGCTTGAAGATAACAGTCAAATCTTGTGTGCTTTTTTCCCCATACAACTCTGTTCTTTCCTTTTTAGCCAAACATTTGGGCTTTTCTTCTGTATCTTTTTTGCTCTTCTTGGGTCTTTCCTACGCTATTTTTTCCCCCTGTTTCTCCCTTGAAAATGCTTGCTGCCAAAACTGTCAATCACCTTTCTTTTCTTTCCTTACACAGATGCAGCGGAAATCACGGTCATCTAAAACTTTGAGTGCACGTGAAGTATTACACACTTAGATAACAGAACACTGAAGAAAAGCAGTAAAAATCAATCAAAGCAGTAGTGCTTCTTCCTGTTTCCTCAGACACTCTGAGAACTCTTCCAGTGTCATCTTAACAAGGGGAGGATGAGGGGAGAAAAGTACCAACCCCTTTTTTCCAAAGACAAGGGTTATGTACATAAATGCTTTACATCTTTCTAACTGAGACTGCGATAGTAACTGTATGCATACACACCATACCGTGCACCATATAATTGCATGCCGTATCTGGTATGTTAATGCTTCTACTCCCACTATAATCAACAGCAATTTCATCTTGCAAGTTAATTCTGTATAATTGTCTGTAGGCTGTGAATTAGTCTCTCTCATGCTGTTTTCAAGTGTTTTCTGACCAGCCAGTCTGTGTACCTCTATTCACCTCAATGTGCTGAGCTAAAGTCTTTCAAGACCCCGTCTTTGTTTAAATGTGTGTAAGTAATTAGGTTTAAATCTATCTGTTTGAGTTTGCACGCTTCAGCACAACTGCTTGAGCCCACTGCACGTCTTGCTTTAGTCCTCGGCCACTTCTCCTCATTCTGCCTCTGGCTGGAGCCAAGCTGAGGTCCTGAATCTCTTGCCCTCTGGTGAGAAATCTTAAGCACTGACATTGAAATACTGACATTTTTTGCAGGTATGGCCCAAGTAATTCAGTTAAAACACCAGGCAGTATCATACTGGAAGAAAGGATGAAGAAATAAATTGGAAGAAGAATGAAAAAAATAAACCTCCAGCAGTGCTCAAGCCACTTCTCTGTATTCTGACAAACCAGGTAAGATTTTGATATAGGACGCTGGCATTGACAGATGCTTTACAAGCATTTTGCAGCTAGGACAAAGAAAGATGCTGAGGCAAATAAATCTGACTACTTGCTGCATGAAGATTCACCTGAAAATCAGAGTCTCTCACTGTATTGACCCACAGAAACAAGCACAGACCCTGGTCCAGGAACCAGCTCAACCAGCCTTCAGTGCATGACAACACACGGGCATCAACAACCGCAGCTGAGAAAACTGGGTCAGCATCGTTGCACTTGCCTTCATTAAAAGTTACTGGTGTAGTGTTCTGTAATATCCGCGTGACGCTTATCTTTCCTTCTCAATCTGCCTACTGCCAATCTGCAAACGTGCGCGAGTACGTTCTTTGAATCCCATTCTCCTTTTACACTTCGTAGCCTCGTGCTCTATTCAGCAAGCACGCAGGCAACCAGTTTGATTGCCCTGAAGCCTCGCAGGTGCCTTGCAACCAGGTTGCCAGCCAAAAAGCTACGCTTTGTCACTTCCCAGCTCCCTTCCTTCTTCCCCTGTTGTACCCACAGCTCTTACCTCCTCTCTGTACTCTCAAAGCAACGGCCTCTGCTGTGTTTGAGTTCCTGACCACCTCCTTCTGAGGAACATCTGGGGCCCTCCTCAGCTTTTGTGCCATGTGCTCTCAGGTCATTTGAAGCAGAATGTCCCATCACAGGAACGTACTGAGAATTAAGCATTCAATGGTTAGATTATCAAGTATGTAGTGCTTTTTGATCAGTCAGGTTATTAATGAACTTCAGCAGCATAAATTCTTTACCAGTTTAGATCTTATCAAGATTCTTATAAATCTATGTAGAGATACTGAGTTGAATTCAACGAAAAAGAAATCTCAAGCTGGAAACACACAGCACAGAAGTTTCAACAGGGCAGGAATGTTTTTATTGCTTGTAAAACAGCAGTAGCAGAACAGCAAAACCAGTGTGAGTGGGAACACATCTGAGATCTTTATGAAGCATTTTAGCAGGATGTCACATTGCATAGCAGCACTGCTTTCTTAGCTCTGCAGAAAATTACCTTGGTCTCTTCAGCAACTCGAGCCCTCTTTCCTGAGGCGTCATCCCGCAGGGTAACAATAGCTCTTACACGGTATGTATGTGATTTCCTTGCTGCTTGGTCACATGAATTGGGGACATTTTCTTCTGTGCTTGGCTGCCCGCGAGCGCAGGGACGCCAGGCCCTTTCTGGCTGCCTGCTGCAGCACTCCAGCACTGTTGTTAGTGGGGTCAGATGACCCGAGGACAGGCTGCGCAAGACAAGGAATTACAGGGGCGACATGTGAATCGGCCACCCACCCACCCACCGGCCAGCAGAAATCTGTCAGATACAGATTCCCTGCGTAGCGGTTGGGAAGCTCAGAGAGGGAAACACAGTGGGATTTATGGGCTCAAGGCTGCTCAGACCCCAAGAGGTGCTGGGAAAGCCATCTCAAAACTGTGGATTTTTGCTTCCGCAGAAACTTAGCAACGAGCAGGTAATTGGTTGTTAGTTTTCTCAGTTGTTAAGGTCAACGCGTGCAGCACAGTCAGCCGTGGTTTTTCAACGCTTCGTAAACCCGGAGGGAGCAACTTTTAATGCTGTTCCAGAAAAAAAAAAAATAAAAAAGCAAGAACGCAGCACGCGGGGGCCGAGTCCCGTTTTCTGCACTCTCGCAGGCGGGCAGCCCGCCC